ATTCTAGTCATTATTCTATTATTCTAGTCTAGTCATTTAAGCAATTTCTGTGATATGTTCAAACTGACATTGTTTAAATTTAAACTGCATGTTTCATTAAATTAACTTATATGACTGGAATCTATTTGATTCTACATGTTTTGTTTCAATTTTTGTATTTTATACTTTTTTTTAATGTACTTAGTTTTCGCTCTATTAATTTTAAGAATAATCACTGTATGGACATGTCCTATATCTCACTTGTATTGTGGATCCATGGAACGAAAAATAAATGAATGAATGAATGTATACTTGTAATTAAAATCCTTTGATATCTATTTCTGAAATAAGATTCAAGCCATAGTTTAGCTTTACCCTTTATCCCACAGAACTCCAATTTGAACAACAGAACCTCATGAATAACACAATCGAAGGCCTTTTCTAGGTCACAAAAATGCCTCCTATTAAGTTTTTGCTGTTTAAGGTCTTACAGATTTCATTCACTAAATTGTATATAGCCTCATCTGTTGAAGATTTTGTTATAAAACCAAACTGTTCTTCCACTAAAATGTTATTGTTATTTAATTGCTCAATCAATTGAATGCTCATAGCTTTTTCTAATACCTTAGAGAACGAAGTTAAAAGAGATATAGGCCTATCGTTGGAAATATTTGATTTATCACCCTCTTTAAAGATCAGTCTTATTTCTGAGTATTTTAAACGATCTGGGAAAATTCCTTGTGATAATGAATTGTTGCATATGCGAGTCAAAGGAGAGCTAATGAAAAAGGAACTCATTCTTAATACTTTAGTGGATATTTCATCATATCCATATGAGTTTTTTGCTTTGAGAGATTTAATTATATTTTCAACTTCCTTAGTTGATAAAGATTTAAGTTTAATATGTGGAAAGGGATTTATAAAAGTTTTCATTAACTAATGAATGGGAGTAGTGTCTGGAAGGTAACTAATATTATTATTTTGTTTATTTTTTGCATTTTTATTTTCAGCTACAGTTAAAAAGTGATTGTTAAAGGTTTCCACAATTACTTGTTTTTCTGTAATCCATTTTCTGTCCACCTTTAATGTGCATATTTTTTTCATTATTTGGCGCCTTATTAGTTTCTAATTTTACTATATCCCATATGGTTTTATTTTTATTTTTGGAATTTTGAATTTTATCATATTTTAGTTTTTTAGCTTCCTTAATGACCTTAGATAAAATTTTACAGTATTTTTTATAGTAGTTTCTTAATTCTGAATTATTACTGTTTCTACATGCCATACAGAGTACTCTTTTACGTTTACAGGATGTTATTATTCCTATAGTAATCCAATCATTATTTTATTTGAAATTTTAATTTGTTTGAAAACTGGAATAGTAATTTTCAAGTAAGTGTCTAAAAAGGAGTCAAACATTATATTAACATCATCACTAGAAAATGTTGAGTCCCATGTTTCATAACTTAGTTTAATTAAATTCATTTACTGTCTGTTTGTTTATTTTCCTTATTATTTTAAATTGTTTAGCATGTGTACTCATGTTTATTATTTCGTTGAACTGTGGTGGGAAAATTTATTGTACTTATTAAATTAGAAGTTCTCAATAAGGTATCTAATTTGTTTTCCTTTTCACTATCAAGAAGGTAATTTATATTAATATCCCCATAAATAATATATTCTTGTGTTGAGGTATATAGATTTCTAAGTATTGTACCTAATTTTGTTATGAAAGTATCAATGTTTCCAGTCAGAGCTATATATATTGTAATTATACAAAGTATTCTGTATGTGTGTATGTAGAAGACAATATTTTTGCAATAAACTATACAGGTAAGTTACATATTTCCCTTTCTTCACATGAACAAACCCATCAAAATAAACTGACATGATGAGGGAGGTGTGTCATATTCATAACAACCAGCTGTATACTTGTAACACTGTTGTCATACGAAGGGGGACCCAAAAATAACCGGAACCGACCTGTTGCGCACGCATGCTTTGTAGTTAGGAGTTGTGCTGCTAGGTGATGTTAGCTGGGGGTCTCCTGCTACTGTTAGTGAGCTGGCGTCAGTCTGAGTTAAGTCGTTTGTCTGTGGTGCTCTGTTGTGTGCGTTCCTGTTTCAACCCTTTGGCGATTAGTGAGAATGGCATTGTCCACAAAGAGTTCGTTCTGCCAGGACAAACAGTGAACCAACATTTTTACCTGGATGTGTTACGAAGATTACGAGAGTGTGTGCGACGAAAACGGTCCGAAGTGTGGAGAAATGGGAACTGGTTGCTTCACCACGACAATGCTCCAGCCCGTCTCATGTGCAAACCTTCGGTTAAAATTCGCTGGACCATGCTCCATGAGATGTTCGTTTCCTCAGAAAGTTGGTCAATGGTCTTTCGATGATCTTCATCAATTCTGGTCGGCCATCTCACTAATCGCCAAAGGGTTGAAACAGGAACGCACACAACAGAGCACCACAGACAAACCACTTAACTCAGACTGACGCCAGCTCACTAACAGTCATGGGAGACCCCCACCTAACACCACCTAGCAGCACAACTCGTAACTACAAAGCATGCGCGCGCAACAGGTCGGTTCCGGTTATTTTTGGGTCCCCCCTCGTATAAGCAATAATCTATTCTTAAGGTCAAACAGGTCATCCCGTGATCTGGAAAGCATATATGTTTTTAAAGTTAGCATCCTGCTGGGTGTATACAATCAACATATACAATTCTACAGTCAACGCAACAACTGTTTATTAACATACACAGCACTACATTTTTCGACCCTAACGGGCCATCCTCAGGTGCTGCAAGTCTCTCACTCACTCAACCACTGAACTGCAATGCTCAAAACATGTAGCCCTATATATGTTAATAAACAACTGTTGCACTGACAGTAGAATTTGTATATGTTGAGAGCACAAATACTTACCTCCATAACCCTTACGTGCCTTTATACTGTGGCCCTTAGGCAAAAGTGCAACTTTATCTTATTTAGTACAAGATCGGATCTGAAACTTTCATAGCAGCTGAAGTTAACAGAATCTTCTGAGGCTACAAGCCACATCATCTGGGTAAACATTACAGACATTTCAAGAACCATCCCTGTCCCTATCACAATCCGATTCCGATTTTTAACTAACCAACATGCATGACAGCACAAGAAAATTTTACTAATAAAAGGTCAATTCTTGATGGTTGTCCAAAATGCATTCCAAGAGCAAGTTTCATATGCTTGCTGTTGAAGAAACTTGCCTTCCAGAATTTAGCAAACCTACCACGCAACAACTCTTACATTCGTGTTGTCCAAGTCTTGTCACCACAACAGTCACAGCATAAGCATCATGCAAAGCACTTGTGCTTCCAGGACTGCATTTTTTTAGGAATTTTATTCTTGAGTGAAGAAAGAGCTGAATTGCCCCCACAAACATCTTATTCATCTTCCCTGGCCTTGAAATGCTATTCAAGCAATAAATCTGAAGACACACACTTACCAGCAGGGAAAACATACGATTAGACATGAATTCCAGGGATTGATTAGCATTACATATAACTGAGTGAATATCTAGGAGGGATGTGGGGGGGGGGGGAAATGACAGCCTATTTTAAAATATTAGTCCAACAGTCATGTGGACAAAACTGAAGAAAACCAAGATAAATCTCATTCATGATGGCCATCTCCTTGCCTGGCATCAGCACTGGAAGCTCCCGATTACATAAAGCAGAAATGCTAACCACTCATCATGATAAAAGTAAGTAAAGTAAAGGTATCCCTGTAACAGGCCGTGGAGGACCATAGGGTTGTGAGATGTTGATGTTCCCACATTTTCTAGACAATCGGCTCCTAGATGGCAGTAACGTTGTTAGCCTTACATGCTGGCCACCCTTTACCCCCAATAATATTCCAAGAATATTCCTGGTACTCATTTCTGTTAGAGGCTGAGTCGACCTCATGGCCACAGTGCAGGTGGAAGGATTAGGTTAATTGAAAAAATCCAATGACTTCATCAGGTTTCGATCCTGCAACCTTCCAGTTTGTAGCATAGTGCCTCAACCAACTACACTACCTTCCATATCATGTAAAACTCTGAGATTACCATAAATCAAACTTGGATATAGAAGAAGCAATATTTAATCTCTTCCCATGCAATCTGAGTCCTCTGATGGTTATTTTCTTTAACACAAAAATGTTAAAGGTCTCAAAAGAAAATCATCCCTATTCCATCTCAGAATTTTATAAGTAATATAAATGACTCATCCATTACAGATGCAAGAAAAAAAAGTACACATACTGTACACCACACACACACACACCCCCAAAGGTATCTCCACCTTGTCATAGTGGTGGGGCTTGTGTGACTGTGACCTGGAGAGCTATGCCGGCAGTAGTTTAAGTACCGGTAGTCACCCATGCCAGAAAGGTGAAAGGGTAGAGTCCAGACTAAGAGGGATACCCTTGTCCTCCAGATTGGGGGTTGGGCATGATGCTAACAACCTCATCCTGTAAAAGGAATTTTGTTCAGAAACCTAACAGCCAGCCTCGGGTCATCATCTGTGGGTCCATTCCTATGGCAGCACGCATTGGTTGTGGAGACTGGTTGTAGAGGAGGCCAAGGCTCACCCAGGGCTGTAGTGCCGAGTGGTAGTAGGTAGGTATATATATATATATATATATACACAACATACATTACAGACATTTTGATGGAGTTTCTTCAATTATACAGCATTACTAAAGTCAAATACAGCTAAACAGACACCTGATGTTACATAAAATGGTTTAGAAGGATGTTCTTTCAGAACACTGAAATATATATGCAATTTTATTAACATCACATTGATTTTGTTCAACATGATGACATCATACCTTGGATACCTGTCGGGCACCCCACAAATATAAGTCCATATTTACTTGCTGCAGCTACCAAATTTACAGCTCCCGTGAATGTTCCATCTTGTGCTGTGAAAATTCTCAGTCGACTATGAAGTTTGAACTGAAAATCCTGAAAAATACAAATGAATCAATTGGCAGAAGTGACTATAGCTCCCAAAGCTTTATTTAAGTCCTCAGTCGCGTGTTCACGCGTTGCCAAGGGTATGGGTATAAAACTTCATACTCGTAGTGAACCCTCTCTTGTTTTTCAATATTAAACTGGACTACCTACAAAAACAAATATTTCTACCGTAAGTTTTGGGAACATTTCCCATGAAGTTCGTCCGAAGATGAAAACTCTGACGTTCATCCTTCTCCCCGGCCGCCATACACATAATCAGCAATTTAGGGTTACGTGATGAGCGTCTAACCTCACTTTTATGTTAGCATTTCTTACCTGAACATCTCTCAGAGTCGGTGGCTCCTCCACCGACATTGTCAATTAAAAGTACAAATTGCGTGTTTGTATGAAATCGAGTTCAGAGCATGTTACTGACACTGCAACAGAAAATTCAGTTACTTTGGCAAATTACGAAAGCAAAGTAAACAACTGACGCCATACAGTAATCTGTACGATCTGTACCGCACTTCAAAATCACGTCACATTTACACCACTTCCAACATTTTGCCAAACATCCACACCCAACCTTCATACCTTCGTATCACATTAATGACCCTCTGATAACGTGAGAACAAGTGCTTCCTATTGGTTCATGCTATTGAGGGCGAGAGCGTGTGTACACAATGCTGCCAACAAAATTACCAAGAGCAATTTATTTTATTTAACATATGCTTTCAAATTTACTTATCTCTTTAAACAGACAGTTTTCTGTCTTAAATATTTTTTGTTACAACTTAAAAGTACTGCCTAATTATATAATTACATTTTTAGTACAGCTATTCATTTTAGCAATTTCAATTTCGTGTATTGACCATTCTGATAGAATGACTCTCCGCTTTTCATTGGTCGAATGCGTAGTTCCCAAAGTTACCAAACACGACATCGAGCAAACATCACTGCAAGCTCGTTAAGCGAGAAGTTCGTGTTGCTGGCGTGGCTGGAACGTTAGAGCCGTTAGAGCTATGGCTAGTCCAAAGTTGTATCGACGTGAAGAAGTGGCAAAGAAGAACAACAGTCAGGGTGCGTGGATAGTAATACATAATTCGATATACAATGTAACCGAATTTCTAAATGAGGTAAGTATAACTCGCATACTATTTTATGTTGATGTTTTTCTGTCAAATCTCTTAGAAAACATTTTTACGCAGTGACTTGCAAGACCGAGTGGGTATATAAAAAGTGATTTTGATTAATTTTCCTACACGTTGTTATAAGAAAAGTGTGTGCTCATGTCGTCAAGCAGTGTTTCAACGTTTGTAATGTATGATTTGAGCGACCGTTTAACCTTGACAAATAATGTAATCGTGATGTGACCAATTTCGTGGTTATGGCTCCAATTGCCTCGTCTGATGTGACTGTAAAGTGTCTGTGGCATACTTATAATGAGTATGATAATAAAAAATTTGTAATGTTATAGCATCCGGGAGGTGAGGAAGTTTTGTTGGAACAAGCTGGGAACGATGGTACAGAAGCATTTGAAGATGTTGGTCATTCCACAGATGCACGGGAATTGATGAAGAAGTATAAAATTGGAGAAGTTGTTGAGGTATGTATGAATTAAGTTCAACCTTATCCAGAACTAGATAAAATTACGGCAGTTACGAAATCCCAAAATATGTTGCAAATACTGCAATGTGGAAAACAGTTTGTCCATGATTTAAACAACTGTACAAGAGACCTTAGAATCCATTTGTGTACATCGTTTTGCAACCTAAGAAATATTGCATAATAGAATTCCATAATAGGGTTCCTTGGAGTGATGCAAGGCTCTTGCTTACAAGTCACAAAGTACATTTCCCAGGTTGGGATTAAAATAATTTTTATTCTCCAGTGTTATTTTGCTGTTGCATAAGCAGTCTTAGCCCACAAGTCAAAGTTTAGGTGACCTATTGACCCATTAATGGTTAAACTGTGTTGTCCTCAGTGTTATACGAGTACTGCTTCATTGTTAGGTGTGCTTTGATTGACAAATGAAAACAGAAAACTTGTAGAATACCAGGGATTTTTTTATTGGGGAGGTTATGCAGAGGTATACAGAAATAAAGATTAAGTAATAAGGGAGATTTAAACCAGTAAACACATTTTATTTTGATTTTATAATCTTAATTACATCTGGATACCATGATTTTTCATCTGAAAGTCATTGCTAATCCATCTTTGTCATATTGGAAAATTGGTGTCTCTTAAGAAAAGGTACTGAATTACTGTATTAGATAATTTGGTATTGGGGCACATGGTAGTGTAGTTGGTTGAGGCACTATACTACAAAGCAGGAAGGTCACAGTTTCGAGTCCTGTTGAGGTGGATTTTTTCAATTGACCTAATCCTTCCAGCTGCACTATGGCCCTGAGGGTGACTCGGCCTACCACAGAAATGAGTACCAGAAATCTTCCTGGGGGGTAAAGGACGGCCAGTGCACAAGGCTGACAACCTTACCACCATCTGTGAGCCAATTTTTTTTGGAGAAAATGTGGGAACCTCGATGTCTCACAACCCAATGGGCCTTCATGGCCTGTTACAAGGATAACTTCACCTTTTGTTTTACCTCCTACAATTAGATATTTGAAACTGCGTGCTAAGAAAATTAAATGTTGCTTACAAAGAACTATGTATGTAATATACTTTGTATCCATTTTCCATTTTCTTTTTAACAGGAAGATCGGATAGAAACACACGAGAAGAAACTAAGCTGGCAACCAGAAAAGGATTCCTCAAGTTCAGGGTAAGTTACATGCACTTTATGCACAGGTTTGAAGTTGACATAAATAATTATCCCCCTGGATGAAAATGCAAACTCACTCCAGTCTAAAAACAAATTGATATGCCATTGTTTATGCTCAGATCTATGTATATGGTCATATAGTGATTCAAAATAATTAATATTTATAAACATTTTATTTTTAGTGAATTCAATAAAATACAAGATAACAGTAATTATAATCAACAGTAAATTTAATATATTAATACAAAATTCATATTTCATGTAGTGTATCTGATTTCAGATATGGTTATTCTTTGCTTAAGAAAGAGATACAAGTATAAGTCAAAAGGGAATTATTTGAACAAATGGGTAACATTTAAAGATTTGTTGTAATATGCAGTGAAATAACCCATGCACATGGGTAATGGCATCGTTGCTATTCCAGGAGAACTTATGAGCACCATCTTGGAAGTTGAGGAAATATTTGGTGAGATTATGTCTCTTATAGGTTATAGACATTGCATACATAAAGCTGTGCCCATAAAGTAATGATGTTGACCATATTAGGAAGTTCTTAACAGTCTCGACATTTCCCATTTGAGTCCGAAATCATGGTATTAATATATTCATCACTCAGTAACTGCTCTTTTTGCTATACACAGATTTAAAGTTACCATAGTTTTCAGTTTGTGTACAGTGATGCCAAATGTGGTTTTTATTTTTACGTGTTCACAGATTTTAATTTGTGTCCATACAGAAAATATCAGTTGTTTCCAGCCAAGAGATCCACATTTGCTGGAATCTGGGCTTTAATAACATCTGAAACCACTTTTATAGCTACCAGCATTTTTATTATGGTGCACCATCATGGGTTGTAGCAAAGGAACAGGCAGCATATGCTCTGATTAATGTTAATATTGGCTGTAGTTCCACCAACATACAGTTTCCGAAGAATCCTTGGTCTTATCAACAGTATGTTTGCGAATCACAGAAATTCCAAGAAATATGAACCCCAATATGTGGTGATGAATTGCTATACTATCAAGGCAACCATTGACATGATGGTGCCAAAGTGTCTTTCCCCCCACTGAAATTAACAGGAGGCAAGTACTTATGCAGCTTACTTAAATATTTCATATGATCTTCACAGAGATGTGAATTCAAGCAGTCATAACATGTACATATCGAGAGTCAACTTTGACTAGATAGAGCTCTCGGACAGGATTTTTCTATATTAGTCTGAATGGGCACCTCTTGTGTGTTTTGGTACAAGCATACGAATTTTTCACTTTTTTCTGTTGACTTCTTTTTGACTTATAGGATACTATGTATATCGAAAGAATGACAATTATTTTCAGTTTTCAGAATTCATTGTTTCTGCTTGGTTTATTATTTGTCTTGAGATGATTCATGTGTGTGACAGTGCGCTTTTTCATAATAATTGCAGTTTTTTATTGTTTTATTATTGTAATATTTTAATGTTTGAGGTTGTGTACAAACTTGAGCTCAAGACCTTCGACATTTTATCTTCATTGTTTCTTAAATTGTGCCCATATGGTCTTATTCTGTTGTTACTGTATCTTCCAAGGTCAATTCATCTTCTGCCTGATCTCCCCCCCTCCAAATTTCTTGTTCCTTCCTAATTTTTTATTCTAGACTTCTTATAAAGGTCTCTTCTGTGCTGCAGGAAATCAGTATATGCCTTTGTGTCAAGTACGTTACTGTCATAAACTGTACTCAAACGCTCTGTACCGCGAGTGCTTTTCAAGTGTTATTACTGTCAAGAATATGAAGGTTCTGCTTCATGTGTGTTTTCTATATTTGTGAAAACTTTTTCAGTGGATGGCGATCATGGATTATTCCTGTTGCTCTTGGAATTGCTGCAACGGTCTTATATCGATATTACTTCCTTGCCTAAGGCTGGTTTAATGTTACATCACAAGAAATCGAGACACACACACGCCATACCCCTCATTAAATATTCTTGCAGTGGAAGATGTCAGCTCAGTCTGAAGTTGAGAGAGGCTGCTTTCTTTGGATTTGTTCCCATGGCATCAATATTTAGCTATTGTCTTTACTTATAGAAGTTAGCAAATTGTTTTTAATATTTACATGTTATTTTATGTAAAACTGTTGTGGTTGATCTTGGCCTAAATAGACAAGAAATGTACAGAGGCAAAATATGTTCTGTTATGTGCATGTACAGAATTTGATGGGTGACAGTGGTGTTATGTACTTCTTTTGAAATTATTTCACAGCTGCATGGTTCTTGCTGGTTGGTAATTGTCATGAAAATGTTGCAAGTTTTCAATTCTCTCTTGGAATATTATTAAATGTTAATTAAAAATACTTGGAGAGATGGGAATTATGAACTTGCTGTTATAAATAAAACATGAGTGTGAAAACTGTATTTTTATTCAGATATTAACTTTGCTTCATTACAAAAGCAGCTGCAAACCCTTTATTTAAAAATTTGAATTAAGTTGTCATTGGTTAGAAATAAAACTAAAGTGTTTAAGGTACTACTGAGTTGTAACTTCAACTGTGTGCTGGTTCACTTACACATCTGCTATTTCCTTTAAAGTTGCTCCAAACATGTATGTGCCAATAACAGCATTATGATATACTTCATAATCGTTAAGAAATTAATTTCTTCATCAGGAGCCCTGCATTTTATGTATGTTGATTATGGCACTTGAATACTGTATGTATGTTTCAGTCATTCATCTGCAATGGTTGCACATTTGTAAACAGTGGCTTCCCTCTCTGACTTAATAGAGATGTTGACCAATATACAGGGACCACAAACGTGTGCAATAAACACATTTTGGATTCAGGGTCATCAGTGTGGTGACTGTAAAGATTACTGTTTTCTGGAAGATGGAAGGAGCATATGTCTCCAAAACACTGATAAATATTTACCAAGTACATGCTGTCACGTCCCAGAAGGCAGGAACCTTCATCTATCCTTGCTGATAGCTGTTAAACTCCACTTTCCTGTGTCTTGTTAAAACTTGGATGGATAAGGAGATGCTGGATTGTACCTAAATACACTTTTAATGAATATATTATAAATTGCAGAAATTAATCCAGATTGTAAAGCAGAGGTGCCTGAACTTATGAGTTTGAGGAAAGCATTGACCCTTTATATATAAGGTTAGACATTTTAAAAATGATGTAGGAATGGAGTTCGACTTTCTTTACTGGTTGAAACCTGGACAGCTGAGATTCAGTTCCAAGTGGGGGCAGGAATTTTTCTTTACACTAATGGATGCAGGCAAACAGAGCCTCTTATTTAGTGGACACCTGAGACTTTTTTCTGTGAATATCATGGCTGGAGCATGAAGCTGACCACTTATCTATATGTAGTGCCAAGGTTAAGAATGCATGGAGCTTTGTCTCCACTCCCTCATACATTTAAAGGCCATGATGCTTAAGCACAGGGACAGCTGTAATTGCCTACGTTTATGTGTAAAAATCTGGTATTTTGGACAGAAGGAAAGTGGCATGTCACCCACCCCAAGCTCAGTATTAGAAAAGAACAAAGTAATTATTCTGAAATTCGTTACTGGATAAGAAAATAGATTCACCTTTATTGGAAAAATTTTCACAGGTACAGAAGTGTGTAAGGGGGCACGTGGTAATGTAGCTGGTTGAGGCACTATGCTACAAGCTGGAAGGTCGCAGGTTTGAGTTCTGATGAGGTGGATTTTTTCGATTTACCAAATCCTTCTGGCCACAGTATGGCCCTGGGGTTGACTCAGCCTCTAACAGAAATGAGTACCAGGAAGATTCCTGGGGGGTAAAGTATGGCAGGCACGTAAGGCTGACAGCTCCACCGCCATTTGTGAGCCAATCATCTAGAACAGTGATTCTCAACCTCTGTAAGACCATGGCCCGGCAGATTCTTTTCTTATAAGAGGAGTGCCGTGTATAATTGATCCCTGGCCCCAGTACCGGACTGCAGCCAGGCAGTTGAGTAATACTGGTCTAGAAGATGTGGGAGCCTCAACCTCTCACATCCCTATGGGCTATGGGCCTTCACAGCCTATTACAGGGACAGCTTTAGCTTTTACAAAAGTGTGTAAAGTTTCATAGCAATTTGGATAGTGATCATCTTGGTTATGATACTGCACAGTCTGACTCTTGGTTACCACCAGCACCGGTAAAGACCTGGAAAACTAAGTGGTGTAATAACCCAGAAGTCCACATTCTAAATTTTCAGTCCTATAAAAACCAACTTTTCATATTAATTTTTGATATGTAAAATTAATTATTTTTGCATTACATAACATTTTTCAGGATGCTCATAGGTTCTACTGCCCCAAAGACTTTCACCTGAATAAATTGTAATGCCATTTAAATCTATACATTTTCTGAGTTCTGATTTTATAATGTGCAAGTTATCAACATCCACCAAAAACAAGTATGTACCTTAAAAAGTAGCAACTTCCCACCTTACTTTCATAAAATATAATAAAAAGAAATTAATAAAGTTTATGTATGAGAACTTTGTAGTAGTTTCTTGTATTGCTGTATTCTTCCATTTGTGACTGCATACAAATCGAGATAGTTTAAAGTAACGTTTTTGTTAACTTCTTGTTTGTAATTGTGACATGGCAGCTACTGTACGTGTTGATGAAAGCTTAGCAAGAGTTGAGAAGAGAGAGAATTACGGGGATTGTGTAACTTTTAATTCGTTGTACTTTTGGGCACAAAATGATCATACTGCAGGACTGACTGAGTGCTGAAGGTGGATGGTGGCAACAAGTGAGGGAACAAAACTTTACACCGCACACACTGCTCATACGTAAAGTGTGGAAAGTTACCATCTGCCCCTGTATTCAGTCAAATACCTGTTCCTCATTCCATTTCTTTAATTGGTGGTATATGTCCCCCCACCCACTTTATTTTGGTGTTCCTGTAAGTTAGTATCTCTATGAAAAAAAAGACATTGCAAAGAAATAAATTTACTTATTCATGTATTGGACTGTCAAGAGTTGGTCAGTTTCAAACTTTGATTCATTCCAATGTGTTTCCAAGTCTTATGTTCAAAGTGGATAACTTTATACTCTTGAAGAATTTTGTACATACTAATTTCTTTATGTTGGGCTAATGCTGTTTATCTTTCATAACAATAATGCATTTTTGTGCAACTTTCTATCCAAGTAAATCTGTTGTTGAATTGTCAACTTCTAGCTGAGTGTTCTTGTAGACAGACAAATAGAACGTAAAATGTTATTTTTGGTGTAATGCATCATGGGTCTTGTTAATAAAAAAGTTATTTTACTCTTAAAACTTGTGGATTTCTTTATATTGTATTTCATAAGTTTTTAACCTTATTCAGTCCAGATAAAAATGTGTGGCTGGAAACGAAAGTAGATGCATGTGGACACCGTCTACTTGATCCCAGAGTCGTTCATTTTAAGCAAGCTACTCCGACGTCATAACTGTTGTTCCCATCAAGATCAAGACCACGCAGAAGACAAGTCATGTGACAGCTATCTCGCCAGTCCATTGGCACACTGACTGTTGCCTAGCAATGAGCTATAAGCATTCGTTCCGTTGTTGCATGGGCATATCATGGGGTGTTTATCAAACCGTAGCCTGGCAATGAGTTAAAATGTCACAAGATTCAGAAGTCCTGAGTTCAAACCTAAGCTAGGACACCAACCAACAGGTTTTTCATGGTCCTCAGTCAGTCCCTACACATAAATAGGTCATTAAATTAGGCCATAACCACATCCTTCTACATCCCTTCCAATTCATTATTCACTAGTCATTCTGCCGTTCAACGCTATATATTCTGAAGAACCATCAGTTTAAATAAACCGTGAATAAGCAAATCTGGCCCAGGAATGTTTGCCTCAGATTTGGTGGCAATGTATAATACAAGTATCTTGTTCAATTACATGTTCATTAAAGATAAAGAGAGATTAGATTTCCTGAACTGGTTACTGGGCGAATACAATTTGTGTGGAATTAACATGTAGGAGAGGTAAGGGAGACAAAGTCACAGGAAGCTGCAAAAAGTGTGTAATGAAAAGTCACTCATACATAATTTGTACTGTTCACCTGATACTATTAAGGTGATCAGTGATGATGAAATTGACAGAGGTTGTAGCATGCATTTATGAAATACTTGGGAGACATACATATGAGGTAAATGTTAAAATATATTTTAAAGATATGGATTGGATTCATCTGGCTCCAATTAGGGACGATTGATCGGCTTCTTCTGGTTCCCATAAAATTTAGAGAGTTTCTTGACCAGCCGATCAAATATTGTTTGCTAGGATTTGGCGTTCAGCGGTGGTTATGAAGAGTCGTGTCTTCCGTGTAGTCTGTTGAAAGTCAGCTGACGTTTCAGAGGAGCATGTCGCCTCCTTCTTCATGGTCGAAGAATACGCCAAGCAACAGAGCAGCGTGAAAAAATGGCAAGCAGAGCAACATATGCCTCCGAAAAATTGGTTCATTTTCTACGGACCACGTGGTGTCGTGTCCCAGATGACAGAATTCTTCAGCTGTTAGCTTGTTAAGAAGTACCGCTGCAACTGAAGCCGTATCACTCTAGGCTTGAATTCAGGAGATGCAATGTTCGAATCTCGGCCAGAATACCGCCTATCCTGATTGATCATGGTTTCACTCAGTCCCTCTAGGCAGATGCAGCGATAGTACTTCAATTAAACCACGATCGCTTCCTACAAAATCCCTTCCAATTCATGTATCATCCGACGCTGTATAATCTCGGTGCTTATAGCGTCGTTACATAACCCACAAAACGTTAAAGAAGGCCCGCTTTATGCAGTCACTTCTACA